TAACATCTGAAAGTAACTCACTTTTGTATACTTATTTTTTTCTGTTTTTGTCAAAAATATAAACCTCAGGGAATCTGGGAAGTCTCATCTTTTTTCCTATGAGTATCCAGAATGCACATAAAAAGTACTGACAGATAATTAGATGCCCAGGGAATTGCTGCTGAATGAATGCATCAATAAAAGTCATAAAGCAGAGAACATATTTAGTTTTCCATTCATGCTTTTTTTTTAAATTTTATTTGAATCTTTTTTTAAGGTATTGGGCATTAAACCCAGAGCATTCACATAGAACCACATCCCTAGCTCTGTTTTTTAAAATTTTTTATTTATTCTGAAACACAGTCTTGCTAAGTCACTAAATTGCTCAATTTGGATTTGAACTCGTGATTCTCTTACCTCAGCCTCCTAGAGGTTGGGATTATTGGTGTGTAATACCATGCTTAAAAACATTTCTTAAAAGCTCTGTTCTTGGGACTAGGGATATAGCTGAGAGGCATAAGCCCCTGTCTGGCAAGTGCAAGGTCCTGAGTTCAATCCCTGATACCAAAACAAACAAACAAACTCTCAAAAGTTCTGTCCCTGTTACCTATTAATTTTCTAACAAACTATCCAACAGTATCTCTCTCTCTCTCTCTTTTTTTTTCTTTGGTACCAAGGATCGAACTCACGACTGCCTGCTTGCAAGGCAGGTGCTTATGCCGCTGAGTTAAATCCCCAGCCCCTATCCAATAGTATCTCTTAAAAGAGCAATTATGTTATTACATTCATGCTTCCATGCCTCAGAACAAGCTTTGAACACTGATGACTGATTTTTTTTACTCTGCCAGCTGTTGCCTGGGGTCACACAGTGGAATTCCACTTGGTCCTGGGTGGCTGCTCCAGGGTGACTTGGTCTACAACTTGGTACCTGGTAGAAACGGCTGAGGCTGGGCAGAGCCGGCCCCTCCCACTTCATATAGGGCTTAAGGGTCCACAAGAGCACGGTAGGAACTACTAATTTTCTTGTTTTTTGTTCCCTTTTAAGGCGAACTCAGGGTATTTACACCAAGATACTCCCCACCCCTTTTGAGACAGGATCTTACTGAATTGCTAAATTGCCCAGGCTGGGTTTGAACTCGAGATCCTCCTACTTCAGCCTCTCAGTTTACAGATTACAGGTGTGTGCCATCGTGCCTGGCTGCAGCTATTGGTTTTTTTAAAAGTTTAAGTCTGGAACTGACATAGCATCACTTCTATTCAATTTTTTTTGATAAAATCAATCAGGTTTAAGGGCAGGATATCAACATGCATGTGGTATGTTTAATCTAGCACACATCTATTTTCAAATAAATAAATAAATATTCCTAAGGAGGACAATCTAACATTCAGTTCAGTATCAAGCCAGAAGTTACTGAGGTCCTAGTTGAACCTGACTTGAAGGAAATTTTCAAAATGTTAAAAAAAGAAGAGAAAACAAAATGCAAAGGTCAAAAGCAGGGCTGAGCTTGGTGGCACACATCTGTGATCCCAGTGACTGAGGAGCTGAGGTAGGTGCCAAATACTGTAATCTCAAATGCTGTGTGCAGTCATTTAAGTATTGTAATCTTCTTTTTAGTTTTTCTCACAACCCAAAAGGTTATATTTGTAATCCCATTGAGACATCATTGGAATCTCGGCAAGTTAATTTTAATCTACCACCTCCAATGCCACCCACATGGCGAGAGTAAAAACACCAAGACATATTCCAAGTTAAGAGCAGCCAAGGGGTCCTAAATCCAATCCCCGAAAGGATGTGTGGACAAAGGCCCTGATTTTAGGCCTCTCCCCGAATTTATCATCTTGTGAAGAAGGGGGTGGCTGGAGGATGAGTGACAGTGAGGATGGCGGAATTACATAACTTGAGCTGGCTGGCCAGGTACAAGAATGGCATCTCTGAAAATTGCAAGATAAAGATATGCAGAAGGATCAATTCACATAATCTAATTAAGGTAGCAGCTGAATTGTTTTGGGAGGCTGTGCCTTGGTTTTTGGTATGTAAACTCTTGTACCCTGGGGAGTCATAGCTTCTTTACCTTGAGGCTCTTACCCAGTTGACATTCCGAAGCTATTGGCTCTAACATCCTGCTGTGTTCATATCCTATATATATCCTGTATGGAAAACACTAGGCAGAAAAAACAAAACTGTCTGTTGGCTTTAGAGATTACATATTAGCAGCTGGCTAGCCTTAAATAAAATACCATAGTCAGCTTTCTACATATCAATATAAAAAAATAAGTCTCCAAATACTCCAAGTCACAATAATTGTTTTGCCTTCAAGGGGAGTCACTAGAGTTGTCTCCCACACAGAGACCAGCCCAAGCACTTTAGTGAAAAGGGGAGGAGATGTGGCTAGTGCTGTCTCCCTTTGCTTTCCAATAGTACAAAAACAAAACAAAACAAAACAAAACAGGAGTTATAAGAACTGCAAGGTAAAATACATGTACAACCTTTTTTTCTTTTTTTGTACCAGGAATCAAACTCAGGACGTTGCACTTGCCAAGTAGGTGCTGCAACACTCAGCTACATCCCTGGCCTGTACAACATTTTATATATGTCTCATTTACTAATTTATTGATTTATAGCACAGCGAACACTGTAAATTGATTTAGGTCCCTTGAAATTATGATCAAAATGTTGTGTAATGTGTCTGCTACATACACCTCTCTAGGTCAGCAATGGCCAAACCTTTTCATTTTTCTGTGACAATAAATAGCTCACTGTGGCACGTGTGCCTGAGATCTGGATTCTGCCCCAAATGCATTCAGAATCACACCTCCCTGTTACCCTCTGAGTAAACACAAACAGTTTCTCTGAGAGAAAGCCATCCTCCGCTAATGTCGCTAATGTGACCCCTTAGCAGCCCTGTGTCTCCTGTTCTAGAACATTGTAAGGCTCCTAGGTTAGCCTAGAAGAGGTCAAAGCAACAAAATCATGTCAATTGCCTTTGCTGCACCATCTACACATGCATTATTTATAGCAACAATACTTCCCACGGGGTAGAACTTAGGCCTTGGATAGAGAACAGACTGTGTCACCCTCTGACTTGTATTTGGTCTTGAGAATATGCAACTGCTTTTGTCACCCTTGGTTACCACAATACAATTCTCAGATGTTGCAGAAAAATGTACCTATTTCGGACTGCAGATGGAAATAAGTGTGAAAAATAATGCAGATGGCTCTAATTTGTGCGAAACACATTGCTTTATTTTTACAGCCTGGGTCTTTCATGAGGAAATGAACTTTTGTTTTTTGAGACAGGCTCTTACTATGTAGTTCAGGCTGGTCTTGAACTATGTAATCTGGGCTTGTTTTGAACTCAGTCTCCCAAATTCTAGGATTACATTTCTGTGCCACCACGCCTGGCTACATGAGGATATGAATTGTTAAAAGGCAGTCTTAGGCTGAGGAGTTAGCCTAAGTGCCTGCCTGACAAGCATGAGGTCATGAGTTTGATCCCTGGTTCCAAAAAAAAAAAAAGCAGTCTTGTTCTGCTTTCCAGAGACATTTTGTATAGATTATTCACTAATGTGAATTGATTTTATCTACTTGATTTGTATAGACTAAGTAGATATTATGATAAATTGAAAAAAAATACATACATAACCTTAGCCTAGTAGTTTTGGAACAAATAGCCCTTAACTTTTTTCTTTTTTTTGCCTTTTTCCTGGTACTGGGGATCAAACTCACAACTGCCTGCTTGCAAGGCAGGCACTTATGCTGCTGAGCTAAATCCCCAGCCCTCTACAGCTCTTAACTTGTTTGGACTTCTTCAACACCACCAGCACCATCATTATTTTTCCAGAACTGGAAATTGAACCCAGGGCCTTTGCACTAATGACATCCCAGCCCCATTTTTAAATTTTTGAGATCTGGTTTCAATAAATTACTAGTGCTAGGCTTGAACGTGTGGTCTTTTTGCCTCAGTCTCCCAGAAGGCTGGGTAATGGGTATGTGTGACAATGTCCTGTACACATTTTCAGCTGTCAAATAAGCTGAGTGATGTGACTAGATGATTTTACTGGGTTTTTTTGCTCTTCAATTGTTGCCTTTTATCTTGGTTATCAAACTTTGAGTTGCCCACTTATTAACGAGCAAAAACCAAAACCAGAACCAAACCAAAACAAAACAAATTCCCACCCAATTTAGTGGGTTAAATATTAAAAACAAGACAACACAGGGAAAATACTGTTAGGATAAAATCCTTTCAGAATAGCTATTGTTACGTACATGTACCAGCTCCTCACGACTAATATACTACAAATATGGACCTACGAAAATGAAGTAGCTACATATATGGGCTTTGTCAAATACATACCAAGCTGAGAAATACATAGCAAACTGGGTGTACTGGTGCATGCTGTAAACTCAGCACTCTAGGAGGTTGAGGCAGGAGGATCACAAGTTCAGGTCAGCCTGGAAATTTATTTTATTTTTATTTTTGTCTTTTTGAGACAGTTTCACTATCCATTTCACGTTGACCTTGAACTCACTTTGTAGCCCAGGCTGGCCTCAAACGCACAGCAATCTTCCTGCCTCTAACTCCTGAGGATTGGGATTTCAAACCTAAACCACCATGCCCGCCTTGAACCATTTATAGCCTCTGCTGCAAAGTTAAGGAACAGGAGGAAAAGAGGAAGGGGCTGAAGATATTGCTCAATGCAAAAGCCCTAGTTCTATCATCAATATTGGCAAAAACAAAAAGCAAAACAAAGCAAAACAGCACCAAAAATGTTATCTTGGCCGGGCACGGTGACGCGCGATTGTAATCCCAGCATTCGGGAGGCTGAGGCAGGAGCATCGCCATGAATTCGAGGCAGCCTGGACTACATAGTGAGATACTGTCTCAAAGGAAAAAAAAGTTATCTCTCTGAGGGTGATGATAAACACCCTCCAGACGTGTAGCTGGCAGGATCCTGGTTCCAGGCTTTAAGAGCAATCCAGTCTCGGACTCCTTACTTGGGTGCCCCGGCCAAAAAACCGGGACGCAAACCCAGGTACCAATCACAGTCCAGCAATCCTGGGGATCGCCGCGTGGCGCTGGGCTCCCTCGCACGCCGCACCTCCCGCTTGGGGCGGGGCCGAAGGGCCGCGCGCGCCTCCTGACGTCATCGCCGCGCGCCACCGCCCCCAAGTCTACTTCGCGGGAGAAGTTGTTGGCGCCAATGGATCCCGAGTCCCGCTAACGGATTACCCAGCTCGCTGCTCTCTGTGTCTGCTTCTTCCTCCTGGGGCTGCGATGGTGAGCCCCTGGGGCAGGACGTGCGTGTTGGGGGCTTGCAAGACTCTGCAGGCCGGGTGTGCACGGGACGTTCTTGGGGAGGGTGGGGCGCCGAGGCTCGAAGGGGCCGCGCACCGGGCACTGGGCGCATAACTTGCCCGGGACCGCCTGCTCCAGTTCCGCCCGCGGCTCCTGTGAAGGGATTTCGGTGCAGCCAGTCCCTTTTCTTTTCTTTTTTTCTATTCTTGGGGGAAGGGAGGAAGGAAGACTAATGATGATTTGGGGACGCAGCATTAAGTTTATTTTACTGTTCAGCGTTGCCCCAAACTTTAGGCTGAAATTTTCTGAAAGCTTAGATTTCAAGCTTTGGATCCTAAGGACGAAGAATATAGCAAACTTTCTGTTCCCTTGAGTAAGTTGTCTCAGGCCTTCGACTTTCATCAGCAGTTTCCCGAATCATCTCAGCCGTGTGCAGACCGGATGGCATGTGGAAGATGTTTTATTTTGTTAGATAAAATTGTAGAAGTTAGATGGATAATGCAGCTTACTAGGAAAAGAAAAATATAGCGACTAGAAACATGTAAAATTTGACAGCTGTCATATTACCTAATTTTTTTTAACACCTACTGTTAAAAAAAGCTTTGGCCCTCAAAACTTAAGTGTATCATTTTGAATAGAACATTGAAACAAATTTGAGACTGAAATAATTAGCAGCTGGCAAAGAAGACATTGATAGCAGTGGATATATTTTGAAGTATTTTTAAAGGACAAATTAAGCTATTCTGTAAGGACAAATTAAGCTATTCTGTAATCCAGAAAATATTTAATCAGGCATAGGTTTTTTTTTTTCCAATTATTCTTAAGATTGCTAACATTCCAAGGGAAAAAGTCTTCTGGCCAGTTCGGAAATTTTGCAGACCTATTTGTTTATTTAAAAAGATGAAATAATACTGATAAAAGCCACCCTGAACTAACCACCTTCCTAAGAGCTAGTTGCTTATTTTCCCTGGCACAGGAAATTGAACCCAGAGCTTTTACACTGGGCTGTAACCCAGCCTTTTTAAAATTTTGAGACAGAGTCTTGCTAAATTGCCTGAGTTTAGGATTATCCTGCCTTAGTCTCCCTCAGTGCTGGGATTACGGTTGGTTCCACCATGCCCAGCTTGGATACTTTTTAATTTTGGTTCTTCACTTTTCGTGTTCATTGTGCTGATGAAAAGCAGACTTCTTTGCAGGAAAGATATGTCAAATTGGTCAGTTTTACTCTTTGTTATTGGAAAAAGTTCTAGAAAGTAGATAATTTGTATTATATTGGTTGTTTTACCTAAGCCTTCTATTCTGTAATACAAAAACATCTAGCAAAATTCTAGACTGCAGTTCTACAAATGTTTTTTGAATCCTTGCATACAAGTTATATTACAAGACAATAGTTCTATTTAGGTCACAGTTCTTGATGATAACATGAATTATGTGCATATTTTCTGCCCTGAAAAGTGCATATAGGCACATAACACTGTTTTAAGGAATTCACCTAAGTTCTTTATTTTGGATACTGGGAGTCAAACTCAGTACCTCATACTTGCCAGGCAAATGCTACACATGTAGCAAATCCATAGCGAAAGGTTAATATACCCTGGGAGTATTTTTCCCCCAAATACTTTCTAATCAGAAATTATCAATTAAGGGATTAATGCTGGGTACACAATGGAATTTTGAATTGTGTGTAACATTAGAAAAAAAAAATTTATACCATCATATGGAACAATTGTCAAGATATAGACTCTGAAAAGATACACACAGAACTGATAAATTTGCTGCCTGCAGAGATGGGAATTATGTGTCTGAAAGGTGGGGTAGGATGAAGACTATCCTGAATTTAGAAACTGAGTATATTATTTATTAATACAATAGAAATGAAAGGAAAAAAGGCATAAAAAGGAGGCTATGTAAACGATTTCTATTGCTGAAATTTCTCAAAATGTAAGTGAAACCTGAAAAAAAAAAAGAAATTAGCATGTATATAATGAGTTCAATATTATAATTATTAACTTGAAGATTTTTTTTTGAGACAAGGTTCTGTGCAGTTCTGGCTGGTTTTGAGCTCATTGTGTAGCCCAGGCTGGTCTCAGACTCACAGTGATCCTCCTGCCTCAGTCTCCTTAGCGTTGGGATTACAAGTGTGCACCACCACACCTGGCTTTGCTGGTATAATTGAAAATATGCGTAAGGTTGAATTAACGCACATTAGTTTTTTTTTTTTTTTAAACTGGGGATTGAACTCATGTCCTTGCATTTAACCAGGCAAACGCTTGAGCCACTGAGCTAAGATTTAAGGCACAGTCTTTTTGAGATCCACCAGATCAATCTGACTGCACTGTTGTATGAGCCACCTCATTGTCCCACTCTGAGGCACCTTTCACATCATATTTGCTTTGTTAATCACTCCTGGAACAGTGCTGTGACTCTATAGTAATATAGCTTCCAGTGTGTGTGTGTGTGTATATATATATATATATATATATATATATATATATATATGTATTCTCTGTATCTGTCTACCTATTGATCTGTTTGTCTATTGAGACCCTTACTCACCTTTCTCATATCCTGTTTTTCATGGAGTGTCAAGTATAGAGGCCTCAGTTTATACTTTTGCGTGTGGATATCTAATTGTCTTGGCACCATTTTTGAAAAGATTGTCCTTTTCCCACTAATGTATCTTTTTTGCATGTGTGTGTGTCTTTGAGACATGATTTCACTATACAGTTCATACTGGTCTTGAACTCACTATATGCATGTGGCCTTGAACTCACATCCATCTGCCTTAGCCTCCTGAGTGCTGGGATTACAGGGGGGTACCACCATACTTGGCCACTACTGACTTATCTTGGTATCCTTTTGACACTTAGTTCAGTGTAAATGTGAGAATTTTTTTCTGGATTCTGAATTCTATTCCATTGGTCTGTACATCTGTTCTAATGCTTCTGTACACTGTCTTTTTGGTTTTGTAATAAAATTTGAAATCAGGAATATGAATACTCCAGCTTTGTTCTTTTTCAAGATCATTTGTTAGTTCTGTCTCTTGGATTTCCATATAAATTTTAGAATCAGCCAAATCATCTGGAATTTTGACAGAAAATATCTTGAATCTGTAGATCAATGTAGGCAATATTGCCATTTTAATATTCAGTCTTCTGATCCTTGAACATGGTATGTCTTCCCATTTATTAGGCCTTCTTTAATTTTTCAAAACTTTTATTGTTTTCAGAGTATGAATTTTATTTTATTTTATTTTTTTGAGACAAAGTCTCATGGTCCAGGCTGGTATTGAACTTGCTGTTTAGTCCAGACTGGGCTTCAATTTGAGATGCTCCTTTCTCAGCCTCTCAGAGTGCTGGGCTTACATGCATGTATTGCTACACCATCTGACTTTATACTTTAGTTAAATATATTCCTAAGAAATTTTAAAAAATATTTTTTAATTTATATTTTGGTAATACTTTATATATTTAAAGGTGGAGAGGTGTATTTGGCTCACCTTGATAATATTTTAAATGTAATTTTAAAAAATTTACTTTTGGATCATTCATTGCAAGAGTATAGGAATAGAGTTGATTTTTGGTTTTTGTATCCCGAATTTACTTATTTGGATTTCTTTTTTTGTTTCTGTGCTGAAGAGTGAAGTCAAGGCCTCATAATATGCTAGGCAAGCACACTACCACTGAGCTGCATCCCAGGCCACAGGTTAGGTTTCTGTCACTACAAAAGACAAAATAATCAAATTATAAGGAGGCCATGTTAATCGCTGTATCATTTCAATTTTGTATATGTGCTGCCAAAGTGAGTATCAGATTACAAGAAAGACATTTTGCAACCTGGTTTCAGTCTATAGTTGGCTAGTGGCATTGCATTGGGCTATTGTGGGGCAGAACATCTTGGTGGGGAGGTGGGGAGCATGGGATTCAGCAGAGCTGCTTACTTCTTGGCAGCTGGGAAGCAGAGAGGAGGCCCTTCCAGTGTTTTCTTTTCTTTTCTTTTTTGTCTTTTTTTTCCTTTTTTATCGGTACTGGGGATCGAACTCACGACCGCCTGCTTGCAAGGCAGGTGCTTATGCCGCTGAGCTAAATCCCCAGCCCCACTTCCAGTGTTTTCTTAAGGACAGGCTCCCTCCCACCTGGCTTCCTCCCATTAGGCTCTGCTCAGTTTCACTGCTTCACTGTAGCACTGTTGTGTGAGATTGGGCATGCCAGACCCAAACTGGGACAGTTAAGTTTTTTTTTTTAAGTGCATGCTAGGAAAGTGCTCTACCACTGAATCATGTGGCTAGCCCCTATATTTAAGATTTTTTTAATGCATGAAGAGATAAGTTTTACTTCTTGTCCATTCTAGATGCCTTTTATTTTTATACCTAATTCCTTTGCTGTAACCTTCATGATGTTGAGTCAAGTGGCAAGAGTGGACATCCTGTCTTTTTCCTAGGCTTAGGGAGAAAGATTTCCAAGAGCTTACTTTTTGCTTCGAAAGTACAAGGTTTTGAGCTGGATGTGGTGGTACATATCTGTAATCCAGCCCTTGGGAGGCTGAGGCAGGAGGATTGATGCAAGTTTGAGACCAGCCTGGGCTACAAAGTGAGCTTAAGGTCAGCCCGAACTTCCTAGTGAGACCTGTCTCAGAAAGACAACAAAACAAAACAATAAAAATAAATAAAAATAAAAAACAAAGTACAAGGTCTTAATATAATTTTTAAATATTTTAAAATGATGATTATATATTTTTTTGGAGATGGAGTCTCACTGTGTGTCTTAGGCTGACCTTGTGCTCACTGTCACCTTGCCTCAGCCTCCTAAGTGTTGCGATTACAGGCATGTGCTGCCACGTCGGCTACCTGATTTAAATTATAAGTTTTTCTTTGTGGTGCTTCTGCCAGCTACATCACTATATTTTAGTACGGAAGTTTTCCGTTGTAGTGGCTTTCATGATAAAAGATTTTTACATTTGGATCGATTTTGTGAAGTATGTTA